ACGACGAATATCTCTATTTAACCATGGGCCCCACGATTGTATCGCAAATTCAACATGGAGATGAAGATATGTATTGAGCAACATTGGTACAATCCATCGCTCCAATGTGCCGAGAGCTCTACTCAAGGGACACATGTGCAACTTCGACACATTCGCTACTTTGTAGCATCAGAGCCAATTGCCAAGAATCTCTTAAACAATGATACCTAAGTCTCGTTCACCAACCACATGTTTCTGTCTAAAAATAAATGGATTGTTGGAACTGATATGCACCGTCAGCAGCTGGCACTCTGCAGGGTTCTGTGGGATCTGATTACTTTCTGCCTATTCGTTAACCCGATGGTTTTTGAGATAAGTACGGGAGGATGCTGAACAAATTGCTCTCCATATTTTAGCATCAGCTGCGAATAACTTTATCGGGGATAAAATGTCTCCTGGAAGTTAATTTATGCCATCAAGAAGCAGTAGCGGGCCGATGACGGATCCTTGCGGTACACAACTGAATTTGCACAGTCTTTTGGAGTGAGTGCATGAATCTCTTACCTTGATGCCGTTGTCTTATGGATAATTTTCCAATCAGTGATCAGCGAGCCGTCGATACCGTTGGCAGCAAGATTTGTGAGGTGAATAAAATGATGGACGCTGTCGAGTGCCTTAGAAAAAAGCTAGACATACCACATCTATGGGTACTCCGTTATCCGCTGATCTGGTCCATCAGCAGTTTGGTGAGTCAAGTTGGTCTGCGTCTGAAAACATGCAGGACGTTTGAAGTTATTTGCCGACGTACAAAATATCGCTTCAGTTCATCTGTGATTACCGATTCCATCAATTTTAATAAAAACAGACAGCAGGGTAATAGGTCGGTATTTGGCAGAATCTGTTTTATTGCCTCCTTTGTATCTTGGATTGATACTTCACGTCTTTCCGCAGATGGAGGTGTCCGAGAATCAAACGAACCCTGGAAGGTGTGTGCAAGATATATTGCCATGTTAGAAGTAACAGATTTAGTACTTTTGGTCAAGTATGTTTGATTTCCGAGGCAATGGTTTTACGGAGAGACTGCAATTTGTTCCCGACAATTGTTGTGTTAAATGTGACACTGGACAAGCCGACGGATTGGTATTTGTAGCCGCTGAGCCAAAGTGCGGGAGTAGAGCTTTCGCGGTATCCACAGCAATAGTTGTTAAACAAGTCGCCGTTTTGAGTGGCGGTATTCCAGGTTTTACTTTTATTGTCATTCATATACCTGTATAACAGTTTGCTGTTACTCGCAAACTTAGGTACATGTTCTCCCTCCATCCGTAGTAGTCTAGGTGGTTCGCACAAGTTTCGGATTGATTTGCAATTTTACCATGTCGTATCACATGCGTTTAGCATATTTTGTCTCCAAATCGATGCTCTTCAGTTGATCCGCTTACTTGTTCAGCTTCGGATCCAATTGTTGCTCCTGCGCGAGACCGATAATGGTACTACTGTTGAGGCTGCTTGTATGACCCAGTTATATTTAGCTTACAATGCATTCCAAGTGTCGTTGTTTGAACTGTGAGTTTGTAAGCCTCAGGCTACTATTGTCGTTGGGATCAGAAGCTTTCAATAGGCAGTATTAGTTCGTTTGTTTACGCGCGATTCTTCAGACAAACACCAAATGTTAAAAAGGTACTGGTCATCACTGCGCAGAGGATTAGCTACAGTAACGATGCCTTGTTTGAACCGCAGTGTTTCCTTAGTTTTTGCACATGGTTGCAGAAAGGTACCACATTCTTTATTTCAATAAGTTTTGATTTACTTGATGGCTCATTAGCGAACACTAAGACAATGGAAGTTACGTTGAAATCGTCCAGGATAATGTAATGCGAGCATGTTTTGAAACTACATAACAGAAGTTCTCCACTGTCTGTCGACGAGTTTTGTTGCCCTTAGACAATTACTAATAGGCAAGAATCCCTCGCCTTCTTCCGTGACCCACCATTTCCACCTGCTAGCTGCAGTCGGCAAGATAATGCGTCAGGAATAAGAAGAGAATGTTCGATAATAGCCACGCATTTAAGTTAATCTCAACCGTAAGTGGCAACACGGCCACCGCGAGATGGACCATCATTTCGTTTAGCTGATATCTCACTGAGTTTTATCTCTGGATCTAGTATGTCGTTCCAGAATCAAGTTGCAGCCGTCGCTACAATGTCCCAAGTTGATGTTTCATGTCGATGGCGTAGTGATGGCAGCGTAGTGAAGAGGCCATGAGCATTAGTATACCAGCCTTGTATTGTAGACGAATTAGGAGCTCGGTCCGCTGTGTGTGACTTGCACAATTAGCGCCGATATGCTGGTATATTTCGAAACCCTTGTATTTAAGGTTGAGTGGTCTGAAGCGGGTATAAGCGAGATTGGCTCATCCGTAACTGGGTTTGTACTGCTTGAAGGAATAAACTTTAGCATCCCTATGGATGCCCAAGCTTCCTGCTCTCATTCTACGCTTGCGCTGCCACTTTCTTTATCTCGGGCGTAGTCAAGGTAGCTTTCAAAATGCATGGCCCGCTACCATGGTAGTTGGGCTGAGGGGAACATCTAGACGAGTGACGTCAAAAGCGATGACATTTTGATTGTTATGGAGTTCTGCGATTTACATCCACTATACAAATGTCGCGCTTTCGTCGTTCCGTAATCGTCACGCTTTAATTTTGGTACATCATGAACTAATACCACCTTCTTCGTCTCATTTTGTTTTGACAAGTTCGGGTCGGATTTCCGCTTCTGTATTACTGTTCATGGTTTGTCGGGAAAAATGCGGGCACTGACAGAAGGGTTCACTAACAAGTTGCTTGCTAAGAGTACATCTTCCAATTCCCGTGTGTTGGCATAGGTTAATACTAGTACCGATGGTTCCTCTACCTTAGTAGATGATGGGTTTCTTGAAGGGTGAGTGAGACTAGTTGGGCGTAGTTTCAGTACAATTGCACGGGTTATCTCAGCCCAGCGATTTTGCTTTTCGGTTTGTCTGCCTTTTAACTATTCAGTGGTGGGTTCCGGGAGATTTGCACAAATCACTGTCAAAGCGTTGTGGTTCCGCAGTGTGTTTGTTCCACAGTAACTATTGAGCGAATGTTTCTCGTGCGTGAGTTTCTGGCTTTTCTACGGTAGAAGACAGGACGGTTACAACAATATATTTAGTCGGTTGTCTGGTCGATAAACGGAAGCTGATTACCAACACACTAAATGTAGGTGAGAACTCTTGGAAATTCATCCAGAAGCGCAGCGAAAGCCGCAAAATTAGATGTGAGAGAGCCACATTTTCCAACAAAATGTATTCATAGTTCTCTAACTTCAAGTAACATTGCTGGGCCAAGGACTACATGATGTTTGATTTCTGTCTCGCAGAGCACTCTGTGTTGCCGAAATTGCAATCGCCGAACGAACGCATTAGCCTCCGCTGCTTCCACTGAAGGCAATTCAGACTATCGGGGCCAGATCACATTTCGTATACCTAATCTTGGTAATTGCGGAAGATGTTAGATGTGCAGAACCGATAGGACCTTGCTTCATCAAAAATGTATTCAGTACAAGTATGTGAATAGGCAGATCAAGTAAGTCTGCGCTTTCACGCAGGCCGCCGGCACCTAACAACGGCAGACACTTGCTAATCTCTGGTCGTGGGATTAAGGTCAACACAGCACTTAGTACTTTACTGCTTCACACCAATTCCCGACTTATCCAACACGCTGAGTTTGTTGCCATAAATCACCGTAAACAAATTCAATGCTCAATAGCCTCATCACGTTGAAATTTGTGTCACATTCACTGCGACAGTCGAGCACTGCTGGTGCACTGTGGCAGCCTCAATGTAGATTTTTCGATTATTCACTTGATGGCGGCATATACTTTAATAGCAAGATGTAGAACTTATAGCCTTATTTGACGGACCTTAGCTCTGAGTAACTAAGATATAATAATAGTCTTATTGATGCTGCATGATACAGAAAAGTGCATGCCGTTTTTTAAACCCACGTAATAGATGCATTGATCTAGGATATTCCCCCTTGAAAACCGGAAAAAAATACAACTGTTTGGAATGCCGCGGTTTATTTTCCATTCGTTTATATGTCCCTGCATTACGACACCTTAATCTGTCTATATACAGCAATGAAAATAACCGCCGTAAAATGTTGGATGCTGCTCTTAGGCACAAACATTTCTATACTTAGCCATATCACGGTGATCCCTTCGCGGAAATAAGAATATATCCTCGACATTCAGAATCGAAACCACCAGCAAATTGACATTGTTGTCTCTTCGGCTAGTATACTTGTGTACTCCAACCTTTGACACTGAAAGTACTAAGTGCCTAATTTTTAGCGGTTTGAAATATTTCAAAATATTAATGGATTTTTGATTTTATTATGTTAGCTGTTCTCTGCCTCAATATGGCATGCACATTTTCAGTGAAAGTTTCATAGCCATAGGCAAAATATAACTGCACACCTGTTGTATAGGTATTTGCATATGCACAACTATGAAGGTTTTCCAGCATTTTTGTTAGGATCCCAAAGCTGCCTCAAGTAAATGAGTGATATATGTGTATTCTGTGAAGAAATGCTCCAAGACGAATGGTTTGTAGATTCACAAGAAACGACCCAGTTGTCGCGTGTGAAAATGGTTCACCGAACAGTCGGTTGAGAATAAGGTAATAAGCATAACATTAACCATTCCGCCAGTTACACTGAAGGACGGTGTATATTGTGTGCGTAGTCTTCTAGGTGCCTATTGCAAATCAGAAAACGGATGGATACTAACTGCTTGCTTATTGGGCAATGATGTCCAAGGAAAAATATTCAGTGAATCGCTTAACAGTGGCATTCACTTACACCAATGGCTGGTTCCACGTGTCATATTACAAAGTAAAGCAATAAAATCAATCCGATTAGTGGTAGAACAAACTAACACTGCAAGTTAGTTTGCTCAAACGTTCGAGCACGAATTCTTTGCAGAGAGAAATCACCCCAATGATGTTCCGAAACTCTTGTTTCTCAGTACTGGTTAGTTTATTATAAATGCAGTTATGAATAGAAGGTCGATTAAAATATCCATAGCGTATTGAAAAAGTGGTTTCTAGGCAAAACGTTCTGAAATGTTTATACATTTATTCTTATACACTCGTAAATACTAGTAACCAATGGATGACAGCACAAATAGGCGAATATACTTGGACTTGTCATGCGAGCAGCGGACCAGTGCTGAACATGCCAATGTTAGGATTGCATAAATGATGTGCGGTATTGTGAACAACTGAACAAACTATGGGCTTTCTTGGTATTAGCAGATAAACTAGTAGTAGAAATGTTTACACAGGTATTACTCTACATTGTACTGGTTGTCAAATTCATTGCATGCTGCTTCCTAATGAAAATATGCGATAAAAGTCATACTGCGCAATCATATGCGTTTTTCTTATGCATTCATCAGGGGATTCTAATTGCGTTGACGATCAATACCTCGGGTAGTGGAGCCACGTCGCAAGACGACTGTCGCAATGAGTGTTACAAAGAGGCCAAAACGATGATGTTACTGAGCATTGAAGTTGGTTTTCCGTTGCGGGATATTTTGGATGCACACAGCTTCTGCGTAGCACACTGCCTACAGATCTAATGCGGATCACTCATAGCTGAAGAAAATCGGAGGACTCATGAATTGTTTCATCTTAACAACTCACTTTTATTCGCTTGATTAAAACGTACTAACTGATTTCGCACATCTTTCAACGCACTTGCCGCTTTTGTTTTATTAATGCATGGATAAGAGACAAGGTAGCTTTAATTATTATGTTTGATAAAGCTGTGTAATTATTCTGATGAAAGAAACCACAAATGTCGGCAATAGTCTGCATCTGACCGTTGCTTTTACTTAATGTTACTACCGAAAATAAGGATAATTTAGCTGCGGTGACTTCGCTGGGGTAAAAATTTGTAAACTCAACAACTGTACTTACACCTTACGACAATCAAATTTTTGTTATCAATGATGGATAGATAAGAAGTTAGCCGTTGATTCCGTGGATCAAAATAATCCTGCTTCTTGGAAAAATGACCAGTGATGCATTTAGATTTGCATAACTACTGAAGAAACCTTCAAACGCATTCACTAATAAGCTTGCCATACACCGTTCAACTTAGCACGTTTCCACAGTTTTATATTACATATCTATTATTACAGTAACAGTCGGAATGATTAGTACGTTCAAGTAAAGCACAAGCATATACTCTCTTATTAGCTTCGAATGAATGATTCGAATCGATGCAGGTTAGGTTTCACTAGTCTCATCTTAGCGACAGCTTGCCGGAATACAACACACAGCGCGTCTAAGTTCTAACACGCCTATATCTATTGTAACAAACACCTGCCCTGGAGATTTCGAATGCTTGATTTATCAATCCATTCCGTTTGATAGATATCCTGTGTATGCCTTGATAGCAATTGGTAAGACCTATTGGTAAGTGATTTCAGCAAAATATCCCTCCGGAAAATTCACCCCTTTGGTTTAACGCGAAGTAGCAAACGGGAAATAATATGATTATCCTGTACTTCCTTTTCCTTGTTCAGCACAATTATGTGATTTCGTGAATAGCTAGGACTCCAACAGATATAAGCACCCACAAACAGCAAAATCAAAATGATTAACGAGGCAATCTTATTGCAATGCTACGTATCCATCATTACTCGTGCGTTGTAATAATTTCAGAGGTCTCGTAGCTTATCACCGCCATTTTCACAGTAAAATATTGAGCAATGTTGTTAAAGTGTCATGTGAAATTGCACCATAATGTAAAATTGCAGCTGGTATTTATGAGTCTTGTAATGTAAATTTAGTAAGAGAAGGTAATAGTTAAGGAAAATGGATGTGTTGACAAAAATTGAGGTGTTTCCAACCCTAACAAACATTTATTTATGGTATTAAAGTATGCTTTAATTAGATCTAGAATTGACTATTTCATAAGTCTTCCAGAACAACTAATAAGAATAATTATTTGCTTACTTTTTATTTGAAAATTGCGTTATCAAATAGAGTGCAGCAATATATTATTGCCGGAGTATGTATACGAAGTGGAAACGTATTATTAGGATGGTTAGTCAACGGAGTTGATTTGCACAATTAGGATTAAATGTTAAGGGGGTGGAAATGGCTACGTTCACTAGGTGAGTGAAATGTGAGCAGATTGAAGGTTTCGAAATCGTGGTGCGATGTATTATCCAAATCAGTCGGATTATTGTCAGCGTATGTATTCCGGACAGAACGTAAGCATAAACGCAACCCATTTTTGTCGCCAACAGGGACATACTTGTGTTGATATCGGCCGTGATTCATCCGGAAGAATTCAATGTATAATGCATAAGTTTAACTGCACTGTAATATCAGTACCACTCTATTCACATACACGTCATAGCAATTGTCTGCGCAGTTCTCTAATATTACAAACAATTTTTATCCTCGTTTAGGCAACCTGACGTAGTTTCTGTGTAATTGCTAAAAGATGTTTATCAAATTACCTGCCTGGTTGCTTAGAGTCCTTCGAAAAAGAGTATTTGCTTCATCAACAATCAAGGTAGCCGAAGGGATTGAGGTTAACCTCACATGAGCAAAAAGCTCAGAGTGAGACGACCACATTCAGGCAAGCAACAATTTGACATGACATAAAATAAGCAACATTAACCTGACAACTGTGAATGGCTGCGCATCTGCAAAGACAAAATCATGTGTGATCCAGTTAAAAAAGTACATTTGTGGCAAACTTGGATGTGGTAGATAACGGATAATATGTACAACAGGAAAATATTTTCTGCTGCCATTTGTGTATGAATGCATATCTATCGCGTTTAAAACTAACTACTCAATACTGAGAATAAAACGCGAGAAGCCAACAATCTTTGTTGATCCATGGTAGGTGGATCGTGCACATTCGCGTAATCACATCGATGATTCCTGTGCGGTGGCAGCGTATTTCAGCTGTACTACATCTTATTCAGGTGCGATACGCGCCATATACCTGTAGTCTGCAAAGTGGGCACCAAGGAATATTTTACATTCCGACACCGATTTCACTTCGACTAGCCTCTCTGGCAATTCATTTCAATTTTCCGTCACACAACGCTCGAAGCCAGGAGGTTAAGCGATGGGCTCTAAATCCGGTACGACCAATTTTTACTAATGTCCGCGCGTGTTGTTTGGTGCGCGAACGTGCAACATCGGCCTCAACAAATTGAAGTGGCCCAGGTGCATTATCCGGTGCCGGCAGGTCAACTTCTGTATACCACCAGGACAGGCGGTCGAAGTCTCGCTGAAGGATATTTTATTTGAGGGGAGAATCATAATCCTCCAACTCTTCGGGTTGTATAGAGACGAAGCGCAAAGAAACCGACGATGCTGATGTATTTCGTTTATGTGCATCAGGCACAAAATGGGTCCCAGAACTGTGCCTTGGATTATGCCGCAAGTGGACGGGTATCGTTTCATTAGATCGCCATCCACCGAAACCTGCAAGCTTCTACCAATATACATGTCACGGAACCACCAGTGCATTGATAACCAACTCCACACATCCTCAGCTAGTGGAGCAGGATCTCATGCTTTACTTCAATAAAAGCCTTGCTTCAAGCAATGTAGGGAATATCCACTTACTTCCCTCGGTTTAACACTTGCAACCATACTTGCCACATCAACAGCAGTTTGTTGATTTACGAGCAGCCTTCTAGGAAGCCGGGCGGTGCCGGCGATAGGAGTTCTGTTGCCCGCAGCAGCTAGCGAATTCCAGTTTACAACATCTTCCTGAAGACGTCTGACAGAACAGAGGTGAGACAAATCGACCGGTAATTGTCCACATTGTGTGCGTCATCGCTTTATTGAATCGGCTTCACTAGAGTATATTTCCAGTCACTAGTTAATGCACCCTCGGGCAGCGATCTGTTGAACAGTTCTGTCGCGGCACTCGAGATAATGGTCAATGAGAAATTTAAAATTAGCAGGTGAAATTTATCGGGTCTCACAGGATTCGTACCGTCAAGACTAGACAGCTGACTGTGGACATCCACATCGCATTCCAGGCTCTCGTGTTCAGTAGAGGATGTGCATGTTTAGTACGGCATAGGCGCATGCGCACTTTTATTTACGGAAGCGAGGTGCTCCGCCAATGCCGATGTAACTTTCGTGCTGGAGTTCAGAGGTTGTCTGTCAGTGCCCCACTAACACAGCTACGTCCTTCGTCGTTCTCAGACGCCGCTCCATGTAAGCAACATCGATTTCACAACAGTTGTTAAAACAGACAAAATGCTTCAACAATATCGCCTAGCCTACTTTAAAAGCAGATTGATTGAGTCCATCGAAGTCGGTCTTCCCATAATTGAAGGACGGCTCCGGTGGACACGTTTATAACAGCTTGAGCCATAGGCTGGCTAAAACCATCGGGTGGTCACTAGCTTCCAAATGCAATAAGAACTGAATTTCCTCTACAGGTTGTTCGCAACTCGTTATTTGTAGGTCCAGGCACGGTGGAGCTCAATGCGGTGTAACACGCGTCGGTTGGCAGATATGTTGTTGTGCCCCAGGTTCAAGTACCATCTCCGCAACTGCGCTTCGATTTCACAGTGGCTGGTGAGCTGTTGAAATTTAGACTGCCGTATTCGACGAAAGGTTAAATCACAATTCAAGCGGAACTGAGGAGGAGACCTCTAGTTTATGAACTGCAGCAACCATCCGGGCGTCAATTCGGCTGCCTGCAATAATTCTTATGCACAAACCGTTCAACCTGTCTCTGGCAGATAGAGAAATATAACTGTTCGCACAGGTCATCCTCGATGCGCTAGATGTCTACTAGTCTCCTGCACATCGAGCTCCGAATGTATACCAATACGCCGCCGTGATAGTTTGATGGTTTGATTCACGGCGAGCATGCGTAGCAACTGATATCGACCTCCTGCGTAGTGGCCACATGATTTAACTAAATATTGTCCAGTCTTAATACGTCCGGACGACGAGAGGCAACAAAGTGATATACATCATCAAAATTGTCCTTTCCACTAAAATCATTTGTGAAGGCTAAGCGCATGCCGCATGGGAAACGACTGACGCGCACAACGCAACATCGAGCTGTTGATCCGGGTTCGGCCGTACCCAAGATCAACCTAAAATCTTTCAAGGTTTTCATTAGTTTCTCTACTATCAATCCTCCACTTTAACTCTACGATATCGGACTTCAGTTTCCTTCTGTCCGAAGGATCAAATTCTGACGAATATATAACTTTTGAGTTCTTAGCCTACCGAGGCAGAATAATAGCAGCCTCTGACTTGTTTCATCAACAAATATGACATGTAAGTGCCGGAAATTCCCCTCCTCTCTATTCACAACGGCTACTTTACTTCACCTGCAACCCCTGTTCTTTCACATCGAGAAACCCATCAATCAGGCTCTGCAGAAAATCCACATAGTGGACATAGCGCGCCTGAGGAGTAGCATCCGTCCTTTCAGGCACGTGAATTATCATACTTTTACAACGCTGCTGATGGCAGGAATTTTTCCTCTCCTTTTCCTTCGCTGCATTCTACATTAGCCTTCATTGCCTGCAATATATCAAACTGGTACGTCGGTTTCCGTAGGACT